TCTTGTGGGAATTACTTGATTGAAGGGAATGTTGAATGGACTTCGTCCACTCTGCCTTGTCCCACTCATGCGAACCAGAGGGAACGACACAAGATTTTGAAGGCATATTCAAACGCAGCTGTTTCGACACGAAACGCCACAGTTGCCCCAAAAAGAACCGGCCAAACTTTGCCTCAGGCGGATGTGCTTACCTATCCAGAGAAGAATTCACTTCATCTCATTATTGGTATACACGTCTTGACGTTAATTTCCAGAAGTGTACGTTAAACCTTCTAAACCAATTATCAAAATGTATCCATCAGCTTTATTATGATGGATGTAACTCAGACTAACCTTGCATTCCTGACCTTTAGTGCACTCTTTGGTACGCTTCTTTAAACATCAAGTTTCTTTGTGGTGAACATAAAAGGGTCTCGGTAAACAGTTCGTATCGTATCATAACTGTTTCTGGAAACCTGGTACCGGGGGAAAGAATTTGGTGGTTCACCCAGGACCCAAGATGGAGTAGAGGTTATAGCACCAGCGCTTGATTTTGTTGTTCATGAATCGCTTTTACCCCATCTAATCTATCGGGTAGTCCGTACTAATGCAAGTTTCTATTTTTATTTCGACTACTTGTCACCCAAGTAATAGAAAAACGATGAAGCGTAACATCACAAACTCCATCTATTTGGGAAACACTTTACAACGGTTGCAAAAGCGTTAGTACGTCGTTCTTACGTCAGTCTCAAACGAATCTGGCTTGCTAACAATTCGATTCTCCGTTGTCATATTGAAACTTACAAACAGACCGTTCGTTTGTTTGTCACCCGACAGTCGAGTTCTCCTACATCGGTCATTTACAAATCCACCAGAAGCGTTTGTTTGAGAATACAGTTTACGAACGTGTTCTTCATTCACATGAATCAAAGCTATCTTGCAACATTTTAATAATTTTCATCATTAAAAACTTGAATTATCAGTGAACGTATACTTTTCATTATTACTTTGGACTTTGTGTAACGACCGGAGGAGACTGAGATGGCACTTTTGGGGTTGATGTGTCTCTTTGGAGTATTTTATGAGATAATGCCAGGAAAGTATACAATGAGTGGCACCGAATCCAAACATTTAACTTCATAGGTAGCTCCCGTTTTGGAGAAATTCGAGGTTGTATCATCACGATATCCGCAACAGAGAATCTACTTTGGATGTTATTAACAGAAGGAAGCAGTTCATAAAACATGAGAACTACGCGGTTTGTGGGTGGCTGATCTGTATCAAACACTGGTCAAAGTTGGAGGAGGGAACAAATGATCCATACACTGTCCTGGTTGACTGATCCGTCATTGAATGCTAGAACATTAGCAACCATCAGATAGCGAATCTGAGGTCGCTAAGACTTCACCATACAATGGACCGAACCCAATAATCAACACACATGAGTGACATTAACCAAGGCTCCTGGTTAGATTGTCTGATTAGATTCCATAATGACGGGTTTTCAGATGACGTGACCGTTAGAGGAGGGGCGGTGCATATCAGTTACTGTTGATCTGATAAAACTAACCAGGAAGAATGAAACATCAGTCTGATAGTGAATGGCGAAAATGTCACGGCCATCCTCTAGTTTATAGGTTGCATTTGCGATCAGATCTGATTTTCAAGGGCGCATTCAACTTCAGCGCGTCTTACAGCAGATGTTCAAAATTGTCGTATGAATTGTGATTCCATTTTGCGTGCAGATCGTAATTATGCAGCAAAATAATCAATGAAAACAAATATGCGTCAGAAAATCATGTTAAGGCAAAATTCATATTGTACCTTCACGTCAAATCTGATCATGCATCTCTTAGACTAGTCTGACTTGAATTTTATATCGTTTGTTTGATTAGTTATCATCTTCAGTCTTGTTAGCAGTCAATATCAAGGGGGCATACTAGTTGGGCGGAGCGCTGGGAATCCCTTGGTTTATGCCATGTCAGATACTCCATGTAGATTAGTTTTTCCAAACAGGAGGAACCACAGAAGAACTTATTTGACTCTCTTGAGGTCGACTCTGTTCGAAATAATTGTTCTGAGTCCACAACCGTACACGATTAAGTTGTATAGCCCTGCAGATACGTTTTCTGACGAACTGATTTGTGTACTTTGATTGATTTTGTCTCCCAATGTCGATACCGTACAATTCGCGCTGACATCCTGCGATCTTCTTCAGAAGTTGCGGATGTTTTCCTGATATGAAATTCATGATCATTCACCGTCCCGAGGAGCTTGCTTTCACATTGTTCAAATGCTTCGTTTACCAAGAGTAAGCCATTCACATCTAGACCAATTCTCCAGCCTGTTTTAGTAAGACCAACGTAATCCACAACAGACAGAACAGACGACGGAAACCAAAAACTCTCAAGATCGAATTACATTCTCGTGAAAATTATCACAACTGCAGTTTCTGATTTCACCGAATACAGCATACCGAAGACCCTATTTCTTAATTCAAGGTGTAGCGGTCTCCCAAGGGGCGATTTCAGATGTAAGCCATACAATGACAAACAAGTGCTGTGCTGGAAATACTTCTAGGTTTCAACCGTCACTTACGTTTATCGAATCCCAGCAAGCCTTCGATAGATAGTTTGCTAGAACCAGTAGTCAACAACTGGCCGTTGTCATTCCATTTATTCAAATTATCCCTGAAATAATTCTTTTTACTGTATTGTTTGTTAGGTGTTCAGATTTGTCTTTCCGTGAAGCGAAAAAGGGGGTTAAATGCAATCACGGAGGTTAAGAAATCAGCCGAATGCGAGCTGTAAATTCTAAGGGACTACTATAGCTCACTTTGTACAAAAATGCACCCACAGCTGAGAGAACCAGTTGAACGGAAGCGGCTCATTACCAAGCTGTTCTTTCAGTTCACGAATAAGTTTTCACAGCCTCCTTGTTTGCTGCAAATGCAAACAAGAAACCGACTTTTAAAACATAGATACCTCCATTTTTACAGAATCGGACAAATAGTAGAACGGTCGGACCATTCTGTCCGCGTCGACTGTCACATCAGTATTTACGAGGTCCTCAAGGTTCCCTTCGTTGAGAACAAATTTTGAAAATGGTGTTCTGTCTTTTTCAGTATTATAGAAGACTGGCCGGCTTGAACATGCGTGGCATCAATAGATGAGTCAGCATCAACCCATTTGTTTTGCGGAATCTGACTGATTCAGATGAATTGAAACTTCTGGATGAATTGTTTTCTATGGTGGAATTCGGAAAACTGGGAAGAACTGAGCAACCACGCCAGGGAGTCAGATTTGTGGCACTAGTCAGTGAATAGAGTTCACGAATGTGCCCCTTGCGTCCATAGTAGATCCGATCAGTCACTTCTTGTATATACTATCAAGTATCCAGAATTTTTCGTTTGTCGGTGCATGTAGAAAGCTCTGCAATGAATCACTATGGCCTTTTAGAACTCCCAAAATTAACCAAGGGGAAACTGTATCAACTGTCATTCGAACGTATACTGAAGGCGATACGACCATCCCAGTACAATCAGAACGTCCATCGACTCACCGTTTGCATCCGTTTACAGGGTCAAAGAAAGATCACTGGGACTGGTTATGCTGCAAACGTCCTTCGGCTATATCGATAAAGGATTAAGGCATGCAGTGAAGGAAATCGCGGGGTGTTGGCTCGGAGTGCTGGATGTCGACATAGTAGAAAATAGTAGAAAATAATGTGCGAACTAGTTTGGCTCTGATGGGAAACTCAACAGGATCACAAATGAATTTCTCAACATTGTCTTGTTGGGCCTCATTGGCCAACTGTTTAGTTCGTTTGGAACACTAATGAAACTTACTTTTCGTATGGTGCTGACTAACTGCAGGACATTGATCGACCGTCACGGCCGCTGAGTCATTCAAGCCTCAAGTTAAATCATACCTGCCAGTTGACTGAGAACTTGTTCGTCGCCTCAGATAAGTTATAGATGCGCGATGGCGGAGCATTGGTAACTAGATGTGCGTCAGCTGACTGTGCTTTCAATTAAATGAACTACCCATTGGCCCGGACAGGAGAGCAATTCGAGTCTGATGTTGCCGCTTGGGGCTAGATTAGCCCAACTTATCACTCCACTGCTGAGAGGGAGGCTGTTCAAACGGAATTTGTCAGATAATGCTTGAACAAATCTGTCCATGTCGACATCCAAGTGTGTTGCTTTTGTCACCATCAGTATGGAAGATTTTCGTGTCCCTAACGATTCATCCATGATCACCACACAGGGATGTCTACAATCCTCAATATCATTCGAAATTCCGTTGAAGCGTCTATCTGGCCAGTACCAGAAAATTTGCGGAATAAGCGCATAATTCGGTGGAAACTTCAATGGTTTTTCGTCACACAGATCATGGATATATACTGCCCAGTAATGGCCTTTTTGATCTGAATCATTTAGAATGTTGATTTCACTTGGTTCTCTGTACATTCCACGCCTTTAAAAATATTGTGCAAAGACATCTCCAAATTCTTCTAAATCGTCACCATTATCATCAAAAGCTTTGTTGCTGTGTGAACGTCTATTTTTGGCAAGCAAGTATATACACTGAACATTTTAGGTATGCAGAATCAAACTATCAAGTTCATCACTTCTTTTTTCGGTAACGACCAAAAGGAGCACGTAACTTGGTTTCGAGCACTTGATAATCATATTTTCTCTGATCTATGATCATGCATCACTAATAAAGTGACAATCGGCCCGAAGCACCCCACACAATTGAACGAGAGGAAAACACACGGGCATTCCGATCTTCGCAGAATTTCCTCTCCTCGTCCTATCAACACCACTCGGCAGAATATGGTAATTTTTTGTTACCCAGTTTCTGACCAAATTAACAATCCCCTTAGCTTCCATAACCGTGATTAACGTGGTTCTGGGTAAGGTATCCGCAGAATTTATCGAGAAAACAACTTTTGGTTACCGCGCCAGTTATCAGCGCGAGAATGACGAGTACAAATATCTGATTGGTTAAAGTAGGATGTGTGCATACCCACGCCGATTGGTCCGTCAGCCTCTGTCCAATATTGTACACTCACAGAATATGACAAAAGTGGCCCGCCAGGACTCTGCTATAAATTCACACCGAGAGGATAGGAATGTTGAATTGTGTGACACCATTTATGAGGAACAGATGTGGGGAAATTTATTGCTAGTGTGTGCGCTCAAATTAGTTTTCTTGCCGGTTTGGTTTACAGAAGCCAGGGACCATGATGATCTTGTTTCTCCCAACGAAACGCATCTGGAAGGAGTACCTCGATTTATCCATCACCCCAAACCACTATACTACACGATGAAAGACCATCCAGCCACGATTGAGTGTGTGGCAGAGCCAGTGTCCCATGCAGTGATAGAATGTGCTGAGCAGGTGATTCCTTACAAAGGTCCAGAGGACTCGGGGAGATTGAAGGTTGTACGCCTCGACTCGACAAACCACCCGAATCCGCATGGTATGCGGTGGCGCCTTGAACTGCAAGTACGTGCCAAGGAAGTGGAGGAATGGTTTGACTCGTACGTCTGTCAGTGCGAAGTGTGGAACAGTGTACCAGAACTGCAGCGTCCGAAAAAGGTCATAAGCAAGAAAACCATAATTGTTGAAGCGTGTAAGTGTTCAGTCTACAATTTCTTATCAACTGTGAGTTACGTACGTAACTGTGCAATAGCAAAATATTGCTCTCTAAAAAGTAAGGGTTCACCTAAAGGACCGTCGCCTTACCAGGCTGAAGCGTTCAACATTTAAACGATGTATCCCATTGAAGTAGACAATATCCTGAATGCATTCTGTACTTGTTCCGTACACATCTCCACAGATGCTGGCTCAGGTGTGGGGCACGCATCGAGTAGCAGGGCAACACAGGATTAAACTGTTGCGACTGCTGTACTTTGCTTCCACGTGAACTGAGATTTGTGGATGTTTGAAGAGAGTTGTTTGTAAATTTCAACGATTAGACAGTTTATAGGGCGTTTTTGGAAACGAGATTGCTGTTTTTACTGTAATATTGAACCATAGTATAGCTAAAGTATAAACTTTTTCATACTGTTTTTTCGGACTTTAAAAACATATTGACGCTTACCTACCAGAATGTCTCCGCAGATGTGGTTTTTTAAAGAAGGGGACTATAGAATACCCTCTTGAGATCAGTTTCTCAGAGCTTGCTTCGATCTAGACGGTTTTCAACGTCAGCCGTTTCCTCGATATCACTTTTACTGGAGGAGGGGGAAGCAGCATTTTAAAAAACACCACGCTCAAAAAATACTTTTGATATTCATTCAAAAAAGGAAGCAACAATGCGCTTATCGAAGTTATCTTTTGAGTGCAATTCTGCCTGCTGTCGGCCAGTGGCGTTTGATCTCGCAAGGAAAGAGAAACTCAGTCGGTGGTTCAAATTTCTCTATGGTTATTGTTAGAGCCCACGTCTCATCCTGATTGGGTGGTACCAGTTGCATGCAGCGACTTGTACCGAAAGCCTGAATCGACCATTACCATAGGCACCTGACCTATGAAGTAGATGTATTCTGGATTAGACATAGCAGTGTTGATAAGTCAGTGTGAGTATATAAAAACTGCTAACAGTGTGTATAAACACAACGCAGCAACTCAACAGTAAATATAGTTGTCAGTTTGCCGTCACTCCCGGCGACTATCTAACCGCTCCAATGTACACAAGGGTGCGGGTAACATTACTACAAACGCTGATTGTCGGCACACGCCTTCTTGAATAACGCGTTAATACGTCCCGTTAAAACTGTTGTTCCTGAGGTATGAATAGGAAATGGTCATTTTAGAGGGACTGAAAGCTGGAGTACTGTAATCTTGAGACTGAATGTGAGCTGATGCTTGCAAACATTGCTTCCTTTCATAGCTGTTTTTCTGTTCTTCGAGCTTGGCAGCCTTGGTGAACAGAACAGTAAAAAGTAACATGCACAATAACTACCTATATTCGGCAAAATCGCTAAATCCTAAGCATGTTTCAATTTGAGAAGTGAAACGATGAAGTTGTAAACTACTCAGCAAACTGGAGAGTCGTTCGTTCAGGAATGCAACAGGATTTTACTGGGATCAACCGAAAGTGGTCAATATAGAACATTGAATAGAGGTGCGGTCTAATGTGTTTTCTCTGTAATGGATAAACTGCTTGCTCTGCTTCATCATATTCGTGCTTATTGCACGCCCATCGATTTTACAACCTTAGCATTCATCAGTGTCATGTACTATTTCCCGAAAAATGGTTCGTCGATGGCCATCCTTGAAGATCTTCAAAGAACGCGGGTGGAACTACTCCCCTTTGGACTTCTCGACATGGTTGTACCTTGTGGAAAGAATTTTCAGTCAATGTAGCCTGCGGGATCATTGCTGCACTCAAACCCCACCACCACGTCAAGGCTGTAGCTTTAGGTTCGGGGGACGAAAGAAGTCAGTAATAGCTAGCTGAAATGCACAAAACCATCCCCAGTATTTATTGGGATTCGACTAAATGGTTTGCTGTATGAACATTCCTATTTCTGGTTTTACATCGTAATGTCACAGTAGTGCAGAAGCCCCCTGAAAGCAAAATAGATGACTGACAGCTTAGGTGTAGGTGACTTGGTATACTTTCTTGAAAAAAACCTTGCGTTTATTGTATTTCAGCCTTACTCCGCTTGTTTAGTCACACCCTTTTAATTTGAAATTCTAAAATATCTTGTTTCTTAACTCATAAGATCGTTATTTCTTGGTGGGCGCATTTTTTGTACACAGATTTGGAACGGAAATTCAGACTAGAACCCGTTTCCACCACGCTACCGGCCGGTGAGCGTTTGGATTTGACTTGTCTACCACCCGATGGTAGACCAGAACCCCAAGTAAGTTAGGTGAAGGGATTGGAATAAAATGTGGTGTTCTATGTTTTGACTGAAACGATTAATAATTCACTGAAGAAGACGACTTGGGGTCGGCCTACTGAAGGCGATAGCAGTCCATTGTTAGCTGGCGGAAGTTAAGGTATTCCTCAGGAAAAATGACCTACATGAACAATGCCAGGTTGATGGGTTACTACTGGGTATACTAGCCTCCCCACAAAAAACTGCCCATTCACGTTTAAGAGCCCAATTGTTTCCGGTCGGGATGTTCCCCTCCTTCGACCATACCCGTTTTAATGACTGTAGCAGCAGACGTCTTCACGATATTTTGGCACAGTCTGTCCGAAATGTAAGACCAAAATAGTTGATGTCATGTCCTGGGCGACCTGAGCTCGCTCCCCTATTTGGGTGCCCATCTTGAAAATATTTTACTTACTCCATGGTTTGCGCCACAAAACTACTTCGAAAACAACACTATTCTATAATCAATGCCCAGTCAAATGACTGTCATCAAAGCACACGAAATCCTAGTACACGGACAGTACATCCTGGTCATCATCCGAAAAACTATTTACGCCTCAGATACATCTAGGCAGGTTTAGTGTGGGCTCCGAAGAGGTACAAAATTCAAAACCACCCTTCGAGGGGGTGCATTTTCTTACAGATTGGCGTGAGCAGAGAGCTAGCTAACCCTTAACCTGGTAGAGGAATATGAAGGAGACCACGAAACGTTTGGCTGTTGTCCGGGGTAGTCGCCTTCCAGAATGGGGGCTGCTGTAAGTTACGGCCGTCAACCGATGTCAGTGGCATTCTTGTTATCTGTTTCTATTCAGATTGCCAGAATGAGCATCTGGAGGTGTAGGCACCTCGGAATCATTTTGGTAGGCTAGTACTAAGTCCCTTCCCTGTCCATGTTTGTTTTCTTCACAGTAGGGCGTTCAAATAAATCATGATTGTAAGGCAGCGAAGCATCGGTGTTGAACACAGATATCATACTGTCGATCATGATGGTGATGATTGTTTTTCGACTGATCCCTAGAGTGTGGACACATTCAGGCTTCATGTTCTCATGAACGCAGATCCAAAGCTAATGGAAAGTGGAAGCCAATATTGATCACTTCAAAGGAAAAGTTCCAGTTTTAATACATGGTGTTTGACCTTTAATCACTCACGTTGTTGAGCTTTTCCCCAAGTGATTAAACCTGCCACCCCCTAGAGGATGAGGCTATGTTCTCCTTGAAGTACGCCGCATATCTTGTTTCACACCGGCTTGTTAAATGAACATCATGCTTTGATGACAACAGTGACGTACCGACGCATGCTATATTCTCTTTGTGCTTGCCGATAACCTTAGTCTTCTTATTTTTGCACCCATTCGTTGCAATAAATATGCACTGTTTGTTCATCCCGAGTAAAGTTGAAAACGGTACCAAATTTAACAGCAAAGCATAACCTATTTCAAGATTTAGCCGGGACACTCACCCAGGCCTCCTACAATTTTTTTTCGGAACCAATAGTTAAAATAATTATTTGGTAAATCCAATTTTTGCAGGCCGACCAGTAAACCGCTTCGGTATCGGGGGAATTCCGACGCCTACGGTCGTTCTGACAACCTAACTGCAGGAAAACTTTCTGTGGACAGCCAGAAGCACCCATATGAAGAAATCCTTTTATTGGTGGATCGTGTTCGTTATTTTACTCGAACACATGCTCCCGAACGCTGAGCCCTGCAGGCCAGGTGGTAGATGTCTGTAATCAGTAAGCAATGAGGCCTTAACTCGATGGTCATCACGCATTATAGGGACCAGTGAAGTAACCGTCCTGAAGTGTGCATGCAGAACGAACGCGTATACCATACTTGGTGTATCATTCTGTATCATTCTGCCTTTAGGTTTACTGGATGAAAAACGGAAAGCGTGTGAATTCTCTGCTGTTTCCACACATTCATGTCTACGACAAAACCAAACTGACTATAGAGAACGCAAAGGATACGGATAGCGGGAATTATACTTGTGTGGCCGAATTGTTGGGAGTGGAGTTTCGATTTGCAAATGCCTTCGTGAAAGTGCTGGGTAGGTGTAATGCTTCTTTGATTATTATTTTCAACATCATTTTTTATTTCGCTGCACAAACCACGGCCATTGTTGCTTTTAAGAAGTATGTAATTACGCCTGGTCATCTTTTCATAAGGTCCTTCGGATATTAAGGGTAGATTATAACCTACCTCTAGGCAACATGGAAGCTATCTTTACTTTTGGTGAACACAGAATAAATGAGAACCATTCTTTGAGAAATCAGCTGGCACGTCAATGTATGCATATTTTCACGCATTGTGATAGGCTACACTTTATAATCCTCAATACAACTAGGGAAGTGCTCAGAGAAGCATTGTTTTGATCTATTAATCAGTCGTGATACATATTTTCTCGTTAAGAAGTTCAACACCATTGGTTTTCAGAACCCATCAACAATATTAAGGAAGAAAATAGTGCGTCAGTTCCGGAGACATCCAGTCGGCTGCATACGCGGGGATTTGTGGTGGCCGCTATCCTTCTGGTGGTCATTCTCCTTGTTATCGGTATATCGGTTACCGCAATCGCTGCCAGAAGAAAATACCCGAAGCTCTCTTTCGAAAATTGGCTTTTTAATCCGTGTTGTCTGCCAGGTAAATTCCTTGTTTTGTTTGATATCTAAATGTAAAATGATGTGTAGTTTGTACTGCAAGGAACGGATCGATAGAATATCCACCCTCACAATCGGGGCAATTATGAACAAATGAATTCTTATGGCCTACCTTGAGAGGTGATTCCTCTTGAGGAAACAGAATATCAGTTCGTCACTCTAGCTACTGTGCAGGTGACTCTTAATCACTGGACAGTCTTTGCGTTTGGAACCGGAGCTGTATTTTACAAATTCGCCACGGCTTCGGAAATAAGTAAAAAAACTCCCATATTTTTACGACAATTCAGTGGCATGGTTTTATTGCAATAGCGCGATTATACAGTTTAGCAACCTTGCTTCCGCCTATCGCCTGTTTTCTCAAACCCTCTTCGTCATTTTAGCTGCTCACTCCTTTCACAAGGATCAGCATGGAGTTAATTCACACGGTGAGTAATCGATCACCTATACTTATTCGCTGAAACTACATTTTTGGCATTTCTCACGGATAATTCGTGAACCACTTTCGGTAACTCACAAATAGCAGAAATCCTTTTAAGTGAAAACGTCTACTCCAAGGAGAACGAAGTTTGACGCTACGTATAGTTTCATTCCACCGGCAGGAGCACAGAGAAGAGGCTATTTCTAGCTTCAGTTCTGGCCGATCCCGTAGCAGAAACATCATAATGGACGAATTCTGTTTATCTAGCTAGCCCTTGTCTGCTGGTCGATGTTTGGCGCTTCATAATAAATGTATCTGGCGGTTCATCGTCATTACTGACAGCACTACCTCAGGGTTTAAACATTGATGGTTCGCCCTCATATCTCTGGGTTGCTGGTGATGTAAATTACGGTAAAAATTTTGAGCTTCACGTGACTGGAATGGAACTTACTTTGGCATGAGAGGCACACGAAACACTACCCCAAGGAACAATTCACTAATGGGACACAGGCTGGAGACAGCTAAGCTGCGGCGTCGTAAGATACTGCAAATAAATCATCATAAATCATCACTTATCGAACCCTCATTATTCAGCAATAATTTGTCATCTTATACCATATTTTTATCACACATTTTCTTGTCCCTTAGTTTGTTTTCGAGGATGGCTGGAACGTAGAAAAACTAATTGCTCAAAGTGATCGAGATAGCGGTGGCAAGTGACTGCTGACCGTTACGCCAGTATGTCAGTATGCCAGTATGTCAGTAAATAAGATAAATCTGGGAGATTTACTGCAGACGAAGTGCAGCATTCCATCTCAACTTAACGAAACCATTGCAAAACCTAGATTTGACAAGACATTTCTTAAATAGACGTGAAAAATTCTAATAGGACTTACTTAGTTGCGTCATTCACAAGGAAGTACCGATTTCAACCGAAAGACTCTCTGTGTGAAAGATAGCGAGATCACATGTGTAAAGTTATCAAATCATTCGTGTTAAGGGATAATTTTGACAGTTATCTGCAAGAAAATCTAAAAACACTTCGTTGCTGATGCGCACCACTCAATACTTGCTTAATTTTATGGGATCATTTTGGGTGCACACGAACGAACCCATCTTAAATGGCCTTTTTCATCAGTGTGATGGGTTCATGTCGAAGCAGAGACATCAGCCTTATGCTTTCATCCTAATTGGCATTCAACAACGCCTTCTTTCATCTCTATCGTCTAACCTCTAATCTTCTGACATCCTAGGTTATCAAGCTATCGCTACTCTGCAGAGACGCGCGCGACTTAAATTCTTCTCCACCAGAACATATGCGCAAGTAACTTGTCTATCTATCAAGTACACTGCTTGGCTAGACCTAAATTCGCCACTTTATGTATTGCTTCATGTAAGGTGCAAGATGAATATACCAAGTTTAACTTTTCCAAAATTATTGGCTGTGTTACAATCAGAAGCCATTGGCATAGTGCTATCTTCTATTGGTCTTTATAGTTCCACTCTTTTCGGAACAATACAAGCAAACCTGGTTGCTGAGAAACGGATCAGTCAGGTATACTGATGGGGCAGATTATTCTGCAAAGGTACATACTGCTCTGAAGTCGCCGTACGTCAGTCCACATGTTTTCAAAAATCACTATACCGCTCCACAGCAAGTCCATGATTCGCAGCAACCCTGCGGGATTTACGAGACGCTCGAACCCAGGTTGGACCTCTGCGGGCCTCCCTTGGTTTATTCGAACACTAGTTACAGGTTTGGATCTAATACAGTCACGATTCCACCGCCTCCTCCACCGCTGATGCCGCCACCAACACCACCAAATATAATGCATGAAAATCCGTGTGATCTGTCCAACAGAGGGAGTTTGACGGAGAGCATTCCAAGTACTCGCCATTTCTTTTCCGGCCTACAGTCGCGCGTTTCTGTGAAAAGTACGAAAAATTCCACTATCAGCATTCATCCGGAAGAGTACGCTCAGATCGACCTCGAACAGTAAGTACCATACGACTAGCAGCTGTCTGAGTATTCAAAGATTGTATCATCAATTTAGTTTTCAGCGAACAAGTGTGGATAAGGTTTTATCATGCAGTTGCCAGCTAGTGAGTAAAGCTCAAAAGACTTACCTGATCTGCGAATCTGGAGACAAGTGTGTTTACGAAAACCGTAATCAAGCCCTTTCAGCATCCGAACAATTACGTCCATAATGGTATCTAAGTAAGACATCAGTCGGTTTTGCAACTCGACATCAAATTTAATGTGGAAACCACAGCCAGGAACAACGGGAATATATAGGCTGCTTGCATTCGTAAGATGTATTATACAGTATAAAACTTTGCGTAAATGCTTAGCTTAGTTTCCAATACATATTTATCTTGCATATCCTTGTCCATTATTGTGCATTTTTTTAACCCTACATTGGCTCAGTCTTAGTATACACTACACATTTATCGCAGCACTTGTTGCCTCGAACTTGAAGCGTTCCACTAATTGGATGGACGTATATACAACATTGTTCCGTGCACTGCTTTACATTACTTTCAAATGTACGCAACATTCTTCCATCCATAGAAAAGGGCCAGACAATGAACAAGCAAACGACCAATTAGAAGCGTGTTCACTTTCGATGCAGCCGTTCGGAGCACTCGGAGGTTTGTTAACTCCCACGATGATGAATCCCAAAGCAACCCCTGAGGGTCCAACGTCCTCCGGATCCAACACAAACACGACAGCAATAAGTTCCTGCAAAGAGGATGAGTTCACTGAATTAGTACACACCTACTCACCATCCAGGGAAGAGAGGATAAAACAAGGGTGTACTTTTTACAACGTCTACTCACCTGATCAACGAGCATTCAATGAAGGCAACTTTGAGACCGCTACATCGTTGTCATCTAGTATGGTGTGCCAGAGAATTGACAGTTCTGGTGGAACTCTAAGAATTCCACAGTGTGGTGAGTTTTCATCTGTTCAGTTACTGAAATTTGATTTCTATGATATTTTCCAAGCCACAATACATCACTAATTTTCAAGCTAATCATTTGTCTGGGTCTATATCTCATATGGGCTTTTTTTCATCGTAATAGAAGTTATCGGAACTGAGTTGATTGTTTACGCTTGTTAGTACGTTTAACTAAGTGTTCGAAGGTAGGCAATACTGAAACCGGTGTGCCGAGTTGCCTTGAGTGACCAGTTCACAAGCACCAAAAACCATGTTCGGTCAAGTCGTTTATGAGAAATTTTGCTTGATTCCCATCATGCGTAACTCCAGACTTCATGATTTTCAGGATATATGGTTCACTAGTTACAGGTTTCCAGAGGTCTTTTACATGGCGACATTGTTTTACGTTCCGGATTAGGAAATCATTTGGAAATTTTGAATAGTCGGTGGAACAGCCCATACAAAACCAATATCATTCTCGGATTTGAAGGTTCGTCGGCGCTTATGCTACGCACATAATCTAGCTTGACTATTAATCCTTCCCCGCAATTGTGCTTTTTTATTTTTCTTCAGCTGTTACATTGTCACTTCCTCCGGGATCACTTGGACATCATGGTGGTGTCGATGTCTATCTCGCCGTGTGTCACCAAGATACAGAGAAGCCTATCCTAAAAGGTTAGCAAAATGCAATTAGTTTAAAAATAAGCTATGCTTTTCTAAATACAACATTATGAGATATATGATATCGAAGCCTAAATTCCACTTCGCGCCAACTGGAGCTCTTCAGTTTGTCATGATGGCAACTCTGAAGTCAGTAGGCAAATTGCCTCAGGATGTTTTGCTGCCTATAGATATACGCATGTAGTTCTTCAGTTCTTTCGAATAGTGTGTGGTATCGAGATCCAGAGGCAATTTGAGCTGAGCCAATGTGGTTTACTTGTAATTACAAAATAGTGTATTGTATCCGTCCGCTCCCATGGGGAACTGCCTGCGTGGGAATGAAAAAAATATCTCCTCGAAAGCGGCGTTCTCTGTTATGAGAGTGGTCAATCGCAAATGTGTCACACGCTTGGACACTGATATGAAAGGTCGTCGTTTTCAGAGGAAGGCATAATGTTTCCATTGTCTGAAATGTACACTCTATCTGTTCAATATTATTGCGTAGCGTGACAGACCGATGAATGAACAGTTTTTCTCACGCGGACCCTATGAAATGTTCCTGACAAATTTCGGTCGAAGAACAGGGGATTTCCATGATGTTTCCTAATCTTGGTGGGTAATCAGAAAACCCCCCTCCTCAAGTCTGAGAAGTTTGTTTTACGGAAACAGAAATGCAACCGAAAAATTTCCGTTTATCTAAAACTGCCTCCTTAATAGGGATGTTTCCTTCTAGGTTGTAGTATGCTTGAAACTCATACGAGGTGGCCATACTTCCTCTGGAAATTCTGGTCCCAAAACGTGTGCAGTCCACAACCACTAATTTTACGGCGATCGAAATTGTAATCCTAAGGCAGCCTTCCTTTCTCGTCTTCCAAGATCACCCTTTGGATCACTGCCATGACTGTCTGGTAGTTTGATCAATACCTTGACACGAGGACGTCTAATTATACTGTGCAGCGTTCATTCATTCGACTGAACTAGTCTTATGCGTGACGAATGATGCCCGCCCCTGGAATATTTGGTCACTCAATACCACGCTACAACGCTCCCTTGAATATTTTTCTGATGGAGTGGCGTGCGTGAGACCCTTTGTTCAGCACGATTACTCAAAGCGGACAGAACATAGTTGCGTCTGCGAACCGAGCATGAGTCATACGGAGACTGGACAAAATGCTTCCGCATCAAGATAGTTTTAGGGACTGACAAGAAAGTGGGGTGGACATCAAACCACAAGTCCATCTGGGAAAAGAAAAACAACAAAAGCGCCACCTGAGCGTAAGAGGTGTTTGGTATTCATTTCATCCACTCGCTCTGCGGGGAACGAACAAAGCCCTCGGGCAATTTTCAGATTGGGAAACATGTCGGATCCTGACAATGGAAGGTGACCAAGTGTAGGAGTGCTGTCTTTCCCATCAGTCAGGTTGTTAACATGCAACTGTCGGTGAGTTAAAGGCTGTCACCTTCAGTTATGTTTCGTTTAACCGAGATTGTCGTGACATCACAGAAAATACCCATTGATCTGATAATCAGATTCATTAACAGTCGGTTTTATTAGCAAGTGTGAAGTGGTTAACCATGCTTCAGTGCATTCCTCAGAAGAGGACCTGGTTAATCTAGCTTGTTGTACACCTATAAGATAACGAATTGCTGAAAACACGATGTGGTTGAACTAGCTAGTTGGTTGACTTCATGTCCCACATAACCAAGGCCGCCTAAAACTAGTGGGAACCATAATTGAAAAATAATTTGAAGAGAGGTCATCTGAAAAGCCGACG